AGGTCAGTTTAAAAATTCTATACTCTTTTTTTTTTTTTTTTCACAATCATGAAATTTGTTCTTTCGATTACTGTTTCTTTCGAATGCTGTTTGAAGAACATGTCAAAATGGACTTTTATTTATTCTTGTCAACTAAAATATTACGGGTAATATTTTAATATAATCGCTGTGTATTATAATTTGCAACCAAAAGTATGGTCTATTTGAAAGAAAATGTTTTACAATAGTCAAAAGATCCTCTTTTTGTCACAATTTTATCTTGTATTATTTTTTATATTTAATATGATAGTATTCTCAATTTTACTTACAAGATATTATTCAGAAAATTTTAAACTTTCTTGCAAGCACTTTTCATCAATGCAGATAATGCCATAAAGTGGAAATATTTAAAAGAATTGTTTCGCTAATTCGTATCGTTTAACTTCACTTACCACGTTTTCGTTCCCTTTGTAAATATTCGAACAATGAAAGAGAGAGAAAAAAAAGAAAAAAACCTACTTTGACGAGAGAAATCCTCGATAAAATCAAAATTCGGGGAATCTTTGAGGGCGAGTGATCATTGAAATTTTACCGCTGCTCCGTGAGATACGAGGCCAAGTTACCAGTGATGTAATTCGTAGCATATTTTTGGAATAGGATGCTTTCGGCATGAAACTGCTTGGCACCTTAACTTGCTCTCTAGAGAGTAGAGCCATCGACAAAAGCCATTATTCTAGCTCTTCTTTAATTCAAAAAGTTTATTCTGAAAGAAGAAAAAGTATTTAAAAAAATAAACAAAATCAAAAAAATCCATATCGTTCTCATTATTTTATCAAAACTATCATTTCATCTTGAAATCAAATTTCACTCACTCGTACCTTCATAGGACAAAGATCTAAAATCAATATGGTTTTCTTAAAATCATCTTAAGATGAAATATACCTGATTAAAATAACCTCGTTTCCATTTTCAATATGCAATCACTAGTCATACGTTTGGAATACGTGTCAATTATAATCACTGCTTCGTTTCTTAGTAGCTCGCATATTCGACAAATTACACAGCGGTTCTGTTCATGGATATCCATCGAACGCATGTTAAGCGTGCCAGGCAGTGACCAAACGCACCATCTATCGGCCTGGTTGACAAATTCATTCGAGAATCGATGACAGGATCGATGACATCGTTCTGTCGTCCAACCGGGCTGAATACACGTCGGAGAACTTTGCCGCGGCGAATTCTTGTGCTGTGTTGTAAAACTTAGATTCGACATTAATTTAGTTTATACCTTGTATACACGCAATTTAACGATATACGTAATGATTAATTAAATACGTAATAATGTATAAACGATGAAAAGACGATATTTAAACACAGCGAATGAGAGAAAAAAGAAAAAAAAAAAAATAAAAAAAGAAAAGGAGGAAAAGAAAAATATAGATGTACATAGGAGGAAATAATCTAGGGATCTCGCAAACCTCGTTTACATGTAGATAGCATGGATTCGAAGAATGTTCCCGTAGGACACGAATAATGTCTCGCGAACTTTCTTTTGGACCGTTCTCGCGTTAACGAGGAAAAAAAAAAAAAAAAAAAAAAATAAAGAAAAATACGATCGTGAAAAAAAGGAAAAAAAAAAGAAATAAATGGAAGATATATGGAACTGATATACGTAATACAATGGTCCAGCTCGCGCACGCGCATCGATTGAGCACCGGCCGGCCTTTCTTTCTCGAGAGATTTATTTATGTATAACTTTTTGTCCTTGAGGAGCAACGAACTGTGAAAAACGGAATAGTCGACGATCGCTCGCTGTCTCTTCTTTTTTTTTTTTTTTTTTTTTTTTCTTTTTTCGGGGGGAAGCGCCGAAACCCCGTACGTTTACGGTCAGGGGTCGTGATTCTAAATTGCTCGGGCAAATTGGCGTCAATTAAGCTCGATAGCCCGTCGAGGGGCTTCGCGTCGCTGTCGGTATGGGTTTTCGTGAAAGTTTCAAGGAAAGAGGAACACCGGCGATAAATAACGAATCTTCGATTTTCGTTCTGATCTACTTACTTTGAATTGTTTCCTTTCTTCTCTTTCTTTCTCTCATTTTATTGTTCAGCAAGTCGAGTCGGTAAGCGATACAAGTTTTAGGTTAGGACAAGGTTATCTTTTGCCTCGCCAGTTACATCGAAAGTTACTTAATAAAAATATATGCACTTTCCTTATCGCGATCGTTATTGAAATGAATTTTAACAAAAAGTATAGTAACACTTTCTTTTTCTGGTTAATATTCTCTTCGGCAAATATTCTCGAACAGCACATTCACACAACACATACTACTCGAACTAATATGTAATATTTTTGTTTCGTCGTTTCTCCGCCGGTGGTAGCTCTGTCTGTCCGTTTAATCGAGATCGATTTCGATTAATTCCGTTTTTGTCATTCGATCTATTTTCTTTTTTTTTTTTTTTTTTGTTATTTATTTATTTTTTCGATCATATATCACGATGATTAATAAATATTTTGTTTCTTTCTTGTCCAAAATTGAAGTATCTTCTCTCGTAATATTGATCGCAATGTTCGCGATAAATCGATTAGTCTTACATCGATTCGGATGATATTTTTTTGCACGTTTTATGATAGATAAGTGAGACATGTGTTAATTTAGACTGCATTAATCAGTGATACCGTCTATGTAGGTCAGATAATGGCCGGCATTGAAACTTAGGGTGCGGCTTTCGAGACAAAGGAAGTATTTATTGCCTTTGCGTCATAGTATCAACTGTTACGACATAATGGTCAAAGTGGAGGCAAAATTTCACGCATAAATGCTTACATGACAAACCGTTTTCCAGAAACTTTTCGCGGCCGCTAGATTGGCAACATTAATCCTCGTTTGAAATTGATTGGCAAAAACACGTTTGCACATTGTTGTATCTCAATTCATAATTGCAATATGCTCATAGCAGAAAGTTAAATCGATCGATCGGAAATACGTATCTTTTTTTTTTACGATTCTTTGTTTATTCAAGGTCCCATTCGGCGCGTACAAATGAGAAAAATTTGGTAAATTTATTGGTAAATTTATCACCGGTATTTCTCTCGCAAGCAATCGTTCGTGACACGTGGAAAAATTGACAGAATTGTGCAATAATCATCATGCGACGCTGCTTTACGTGATAAAAACCATATGGTTCTCAATGTTCCATTTATTTATTTAATCAACCATCGTTTAGACAAAATGCAATTTTGGAATCTGAGGGAAACAAAAAAAAAAAAAAAAAAAAAAAAAAAAAAAAAAAAAGAAAAAAAGAAATTACCAATAAATCAATGAATTTATTATATACCGCGAGCGATCGCCGTGAAAAACCAGTTTAGCTTAAAGTGAAAAAATTTTGTATCCATCGGACTAGCGAACTAATACTTATATATAGAGTAAAAATATATATGTATAAATGCGGCAAAGAAAAAAAGAGAATAAGGGGGAAAAAAGGGAAAATTCCTAGAGTTAATCGGAATGTGTAAAATGCAAATTATATATTTTATCTTTACTCTTATATAGTCGCGTAAAAAT